CTTGAAGGGAGGAAGATTGGAGGAATCAGAGGCCAGCCCAGGCATAAAAGTTCACAAGAAGCTGGGCCGGTGGCTCACACCTGTAATCCTAGCTACTCAGGAGGCTGAGATCTGAGGATCACAGTTCAAAGCCAGCCCAGGTAGGAAAGTCCATGAGACTCTTATCCCTGATAAAGTACTAGAAACGGAAGTGTCACTGTGGCTCAAGCAGTAGAGCACTCGCCTTGAGCTGAAGAACTGAGGGACAGCGCTCAAGCCCTGAGTTCAAGCCCCACAACCAACCGAAAAAAAAAAAAAAGTTCACAAGACTCTATCTCAAGTAATGGCTGGGCTTGGCGGTGCACACCTGTACGGTGACATGTATCTGTCATCCAAGTGACAACAACCAGGAGAACTAAGGGTCAGGCCTGCCTGGGCAGAAAGCAAGACCTTATTTCCAAAAGAACTAGAGCAAAAGGGCTGGAGGAGTGGTTCACAGGGTAAAGTGCAAGCATGAAACTTAAGATTTCAAATCTCAGGATGCTAAGACTTGAGGATGGAGGTTCAAAGCCTCCCAGGGAAAAAACATGTGTGAGACACTTACCTCCAATTAACCAGCAAAGATGCTGGACTGGAGGTATGGCTCTAGTGGTAGATCATGAGCTGTCAGTGAAAAGGCTGAGCCAGAGCTGGAGGCCCTACTTCAAGCTTTAGAAGGAGCCCCCACACCACCAAAAACCAACAACGGTATCACCAAAAATAATGTTACTTTTGAGTAGGTTCATCTAACCTAAAAAAAAAAACTTTTTGAGCCAGGAACCAGTGGCTCATACCTGTAATCCTAGCTACTAAGGAAGCTGAGATCTGAGGATCATGGTTCAAAGCCAGCCCAGGTAGGAAAGTCCATGAGACTCTAATCTCCAATAACCACCAGAAAACTGGAAGTGACGCTGTGGCTCAAGTGGTTGAGCGCTCGCCTTGAGCTGAGAGACAGCACTAAGGCCCAGAGTTCAAGCCTCCTGATCGACAAAAAAAAAAAAAAAAATTTGAGACTGAGTATTACTATATTGCCCAAGCTGATCCTGACTTGTGTGCTCAACTAATCCTCCCACCACAGCTGCCCAAGCAGCTGAGGCTACAAGTGTTAAATACTATGTACCTGTCCATGTGGTTATGGAATGGCTAAGTTCCTACATATATAAAGCACTCAAGAAAGCATAGGGTCAGACACTGGTGACTCACACCTGTAATCCTAGCTACTGAAAAGGCCCAGATCTAAGGATCAAGGTTTGAAGTTAGCTTGAGCAAAAAAGTACATGAGACTCTTGTCTCCAATTAACCAGCAGAAAGCTGAAAGTGGAAGTGTGACTCAAGTGGTAGAGTATCAGCCTTGAACAGAAGCAGCCAAGCAAGAGTGTGAGGCCGTTGAGTTCAACCCCCAATACTGGCAAAAATGAGAGATTAAGAGAAAGCAAGAGACACAGAGAGAAAGACAGCATAGAGTAGGGCATATAGTAAATTTAAATAATAGTTGTTATTTTAGTATTAGTAGCCAAAAGCTAGATATACTCAAAGGTTGTCATCTGTGAATGCCATGGGAGAAAAATCAAGAAGAACTGTTAAAAATATATGAAATTTGGGGCTGGGCATCATGGCACACACTTTTGTAATAATCCCAGCTACTAGGGAGATAGGTGCATGGATCATGGTCCAAGGCTGGCCTGAGCAAAAGTATGAGCCTTGATCTGTAAAACCAAAAGGACAAAAGGACTGAGGCCTGGGTTCAAGTGGTAGAATGCCTGCTTAGCAAATGCAAGACTCAGAGTTCAGTCCCCAATATTACTGAAAGAAAGAAAGAGAGAGGGGGGGAAGGAGGAAGGGAGGGAAGGTGGGAGGGAAGGAGGAAAAGAGGGAGGGGAGAGAAAGAGAAAGAAGGAAAGGAAGGAAGGAGGGAGGGAGGAAGGAGAAAAGAAAGAAATGTACCGTATTTGGGGCTACAAAGATCATACACATATCCCCCACACAAAATTAAATATCCTATTTTTTCTAATAAACCATTTAAAAAAGGAAAAAAACATCTTAACTAGCAAGAATCTACAACAGTGTGTGATTGAAGTCTCAGAGTATCTGTAGATACAGCTCAATGGTAAAGTACTTGCCTGACTAGGTTGTGGGTTCTATCCCCATCCTTGTCTCAAAGCAGGGGATGGAGGTACGCATGCCTATAATCCTAGTACTCAAGAGGCAGAGGCAGGAGGCAAGAGGCAGAGAGGCAGAGTTCCAGGCTACACAGCAAGACTCTGTCTTCTCTAAATCTAATCAAGGTTCCCTGGCCAGAAGTGCAGGCTAGCATGGCTGGACTGTGATACCAACAAAGCAAGCTTGCATTTATATCAGTAACGTAGTAAATGAAGGAAGGTCATGTTCCGAGGAAGACAATGTTCTATCTTATACCCATACAAAGGGGAGTCCAAAGTCACAAAGCTAGATAGTGTCAATGTGTCCCAGGAAAAAGTTGCTCATGATCCCCAAACAGGTCCCTTTCCTGTTATGATTTCCTATAGGAGCTGGATGACACCAGCCAGCTCTGATTATATGTACGCAAAAATAGTTTTACATAAAATCTGGTTATCAAAAATATCTAGCTAGAGGAAAAAGGACTGATCACCAAAAAATGAGTACCTACTCTGCCTGACACTAACATTTCTCAATGTAAATTCATGTTTTAAATGCTACTTTTTGATCCCTGAAGCTAGAAGTAATCCTGTTCTTTCCAAAGCCTGTTACTTATACTTCCACGGCAGCCCTTACTTCATTTCCTTTGCCTCAACTAAAATACTTGTTAAATGTGTATGTCTCTACCAGAATAAATACCCTAAAGTATATGAATGTTCCCTCCTAATTTCTCTGTTTTTCCTCTCCTCTCTCATACTGGCACTTGAAATCAGGGCCTGGGTGCAGTCAAGGCTGCAGTTCTACCACTTGAGCCACAGCTCTACTTCTGGCTTTCTGCTGGTTAACTAGAGGTAAGAGTCCCATAGATTTTTCTGCCCAGGCTGGCTTTCAACCTCAATCCTCAGATCTCAGCCTCCTGAGTAGCTAGCATTACAGACATGAGCCACCAGTATTTGGATTCCTAATTTTATTTTTGTTTTCCAGTTTCCTACTGTGAAAATTTAAGTGGATTCCTAGATGTTTTATTAAAAAATAAAAGAACAAAAAATCAGATTCAATTATTCTCTTTCCAAACAGATTCCCAAAGTAAACACAAAGCTTAGCTTACCTTATTCTTTTCATTCTGAATAATTTGTAATAGCTGATCTATGTGCCCTTCTTCTATACATCTTTGGCCTGCTAATTGAAATAAGCCAAAATCTTCTTCTTTGAAGTCATGCTCTTCTAAGATTTGCTGGTTCAAAACAAAACAAACATAAAATCAAATACATATGCAAATAGAAATTCTATATGACAACAACTTTACTTTATCTCTCTGGAGACAAATGAAATCTGCTTAAGTTCTAAACTACACACAAATACATATATGAAAATTATGACTACCTAATAAATACTTTTTTTCTTTCCCTTTTGTTTTTTTTTGGGATAGGGTCTTGCTATTATATAGCCCAGGCTGGTCATAATTCTGTCTCCATCTCCTGAGTATTAGATTACAAGCATGGACCACCAAGCCTTACTGAATAAACATGAAATCTATATGATCAAACTCACTCATGAAAAGGGTCTGTGTTAAACTTAAAAAGACAAACCAAGGTGCCTTCCTGCTCTCACACTATTTATGGACAAGAAAAGATGGGCTTAAGGATAAATAGTCTGACCACCAAAAATAATCTATGTCCTTCCCATACGCTAAAAGAAATTTAATTTTATAAAAAGAGGAAAAAAATACTTACACATCTCTTCACTATGGACTGAAGTTCCTCCACAGCCATTCCTAACGATTGTTTCCTAGTTGTGATGCTGAAATGTACTAACATAAAATATACTATTAGCTGTGACATAAGGTGTTTAAAAAGTTAAGTTTCTCAGAAAGCACAATGAAGAAAATTTAGTTTTAAGGCTTAAATGTTATCGCTGAATGTCGGTGTGTAGGCCTTTCTAAGAAAGCAGCACTTGTTAAACCACGGTGCATCTTTTTTCCGACTGCATCTTTAAGGGGGGAATGGATCTCCTAAGACTTCTTAAAGGCAAAGCAAATACACACTGAAGGGCTTTTAAAAGGCAAAATATTTTTTTTCCCGGAAAAAAACCTAAAAACGAAGAAAGCTCCAAGCAAGGAGTCTAATGTCAAGATTGTAATCCCTAGGGGCAATCTTATTTGTTAATTCCCCACTTGACAAATCCAACCCAATTCAGTCACCCAGAGGGCTTACGGTTCTGGCTACCCCCACCCCACTTTCCTGCAGCCCCCCGAAGTAGTGATCACGAGCCAAATCCCCGGATCACGCGGGCCCTCGGGCGGGGGGGATAGGGGGGCTGCGGGCCGCCGCTCCGCCGACTCCCCGGCTTGCCGGAGGACAACTTCCTAGTGCCGTGGGCAGCACTCGGAGGAAGCCATTTCTCCAAAGTCCGGCTCTGCTAGCGTTCAGGCCCCACTACCTCGCGGGGCCTGGTCTGCAGGCCGTGTCCACGACGACCCGCCGCCCACCGCCAGCGCCCTCGCCCCAGATCCAGCGTGTCCACTTACCCGCCAGACCTCGAGGGCCTCTCCACGCCCGCCACGGCTCCGGGCCCCGCAGGCCGCGCTCCAGGCCCCGCCCTGCCCCGTAGCCACGCCCAGCCTCCGACCACCGCCCCGCCCCTCCGTCCCTATCTCCTGCCATCGCCCCGCCCATCTGCTGTAGCCACGCCCTGCAGCCCTGCTTTCCGACCACCGCCCCTGCTCTCGTAGCACCGCCCCGAGGCCCTGGTCTCTGATCATCGTCCCGCCCCTCGCCAGTAGCCACGCCTCTCAGCCCAAGGTCACCACCCCCACGCACCGTGGGGGCGGGGCCTCGCGGGGAGACGCCGGAACCTGCCGTGCGCGGAGGAGTCAGCTTCCCATGGCTGACGGCGGCGGACCCCGTTTCGCGGGTTTGAAACCCGGGCCTCCCCGCCCCTCCCGAAACGCTGCAGGTAGGAACATGATTCCGGCCCGTGTTTGCCGCTGAGGACCAAGTCCAGATTTCGACCCGACCGGGGAAGGAGTCTCCGGGACGCGAGGTGGAGCGCTCCTGCCCTCGCCCGCCCGCCCCCCGGAGCGTGTGAGGGGAGTCCCCGGCTTTACCCGCGTTTCTGAGCGCCCGGGCCCGGCTTGTGGGGAGCGAGACCCGCCTGCGGCGGGGAGGAGGGGTCTCAGCGAGCCCGGCCGGCGGCGGCCAGCCTCGACCCTACGGAGGAGCAGGCCGCGGAGGGCGGGGAAGCCCCAGAGAGCGAGCCCGGCCGGCGGCCAGGCTCGAACCTGCGGAGAAGCGGGCCGTGGAGGGCAGTGGGGGGGGGGTGAAGGGGAGAGCGGAGAGATCCCAGAGAGCGAGCTCGGCCGGCGGCGGCCAGCCTCGAACCTGTGCCGCCTCCTTCCGGAACGCTGGCGTCTCTGAGGAATGACTCCCCCTAAAAGTACCCAGATCACAGACTTCAGTGATGCTTAATAATCAACTGTGGTGCGTAAGAAAAATCATTTCCCAACGCGATACTTTGCAACCAAGAAAAATTAGGGAGTTATTAATTTACAGAAACAAATTGTATTTTCTCCCTATTGTGATTTATACACAGGGTTGGAATGGGGTGGAAAAAAAATGTCTACAGTTTATTTGGGCAGGACTCTATCCTGTATCTGATTTGATTGTATACTTGACCTAGTATTATTTTAATTGTAGGTACTAAACAGACAAGAACCTTGAAACAAGATGCTTCAAAAAGGTATGAGAACTACTAGGACAGCAATAATTGGTACTTGTTTGCAAAAAAAGTAATATGAGAAGGAAGGAAACGATATCGGAAGTACTAAAATTCTCATATAAACTTGCTGCCTCCTTTGGCTCCAGGATTTAAGAAACCCAGACTACACACTAAGACTCCCAGTGAAGGTGGGATATCTGTAGAAGTCTGTGAGGACAGCAGAAATTAACCTGGGACTCTTTATTGGTGGATATGCTAGGAGACTTCTTCAGAAAGTTACTATCTGGAACATTCCTGGAAACGTTTTCTTGTCAAAAAAGGCTGTCCTGAATGGCCTCTTGGCTTCTAAGAGGACAAGATAATCTGGCCAAAAGGCCAGGGGACGTGGCCTCAAGTGGTAGAATGCTTGCCTGGCAAGCATCATTCAAAAAAAAAAAAAAGTAGGAATTGGTGTGAGAATAGATGTTAATTGCAAAATTTCTTTTTGTTCTATCCCTATTTGGCAAAATAAATTATTAGCAAAATGATGTCAGACCTCCAAACTACTTTTGGAAGGCATACTGCTTCATACAAGGAATTTAGAGTCCAAAGTCTTGGAAGTCACTGAAGGCAGGAGGAGAAAGTGAGGGCATTCCAAGGTCCAAATGTGAGAGGCAATTCAAGGACCAAGTATCAACAAAGGTAGTTCTGGCAAGTATGTAGAAACCAGCCCAGGAAAAAAAATTGGGTAAGTCACTAAAATGATTGGTATATTTGGGCGTATGGCAGTGACCTACAACCCTGTTGAACATTAAGATTGGACACTTTTAAGAAAATAACCAGGCCCTGCTGAGTGATGGCTCATGCCTATAATTCTAGCTGAAATCTGAGGATCATAATTTTAAGCCAGCCCAGTCCATCAAAAAGCTGGAAGTGGAGGTGTGGCTCAAGTGGTGGAGAACCAGTCTTGAGCAAAAAAGTCAAGTGAAGCAGGACAACAGGTTCAAGGCCCAGTACAAACACAAAAATACAATAAATTGCCAGTCTTTATCCTCAGAGATTGACAGGTTGCAGGGGGACCTGATCGTAGTTATTGATCTATTTTTTAATCTCAGATGATCCTGATGTGCAGCTGAAATTGAGAATCACTATCCTGGAGTCTTCTTTGATTGATGATCTCTAGGTATATGTTCCCTATTGTGTTGGGGCCAGCACAAGGCTGATAATCCAGTGGTAACAAGGGCAAGCCCTTATAGAAACAATTTTATTTCCCTAAACTACGTACAGATAGCAGCGTAGCTATTTAACAAGACTTTACAACAAAAGTAAACACTTATTTTTGGTAAACATTATTCTAAGTGTGCTGTCAGTAACTGGAGACTTAATTTCTACTTATAAGACAAGAGGATCACAAGGGCTCAATAGCAATGTACATTCGATCATATAAAACGATGTTTATCGAAATGAACTCCAAGGAATGGAAAGAAATTTTCTTATTGTACTGTTTGCAGTTATTTCCCCACCTTTGGTTTATCCCTTTTGTCAGTTTTTGATTTCTGTACCCCTTGTCTTGTATTTAAGTTTGTCTGATTTGGGAAGAGGAAGGTGAAGCACAGAAACGGTGGGACAAAGGGTGAACCAGTTCATCAGTGATACTCACTGGACACTGTGTTGGAAATGAACTGTACATTTGAAGTGAGGGTCGGAAGGAAAAAAACTGGAGAAAATGAGGGAGGAGGGTGGCACTATTCAAAAGGAAATGTACTCATTGCCTGACTTATGTAACTGTTACCCCTCCTGTACATCATCTTTACAATAATTTTTAAGTCATCTTTTCCCCATCTAGTCCATTTTGATTTCTGCCTCCATTTCAGAGAGGAAAAAAATGTTTTTTAGGCATGTATGACATTGGTAGAGGAAAAATAATTCACCTCATTTTCTCTCTGTAGTCTGCTCTGACCTTAGGAATGATCTTCTCAGTCAGATTCTATGTAAACTGCAACAAGTAACTTGTTTCCTTTTTAGAAACTTTTGGGTCAAAGTAACAGTATAAGCTGGATGCTTGTGGCTCATGCCTGTAATCTCAGCTACTAGGGAGCCTGAGATCTGAGGATCATGATTCAAAGCCAGCCCAGGCAGAAAAGTCCCTGAGAGACTCTTATTGCCAATTAACCTCTCAAAACCAGGAAATGGAGCTGTGCCTTAAAGTTATAGAGCACTAGCCTTGAGCAAAATAGCTCAGGGACAGAGCCAGGCCTTGAGTTCAAGCCCCACCACTGACAAGAAAAAAAAAAGTGACAGCATAAAAAATGCAAATGTAAAATGGCAAGATAGTGCCTCCCATTAGCGTTAGACTTAAAGTTATGAAATGTTGGGGACATAATGAAACTTATAAGTGGGCTAACTTTCTCGTTAACTTTTTAGGAAAGCAGAACTAGAAGCAGCTGTGAAAAAGAAGATTGAATTTGAGAGAAAAGCTCTACGTATTGTTGAACAACTTTTAGAAGAGAATATTACTGAAGAGTTCCTAAAGGAGTGTGTATGTATAATGTTGACAAGTCATTTATGTTTTATAGAACAACATTTTAAAATCTGCAGGGCTGGGAACGTGGCTCAGTGGTATAGCGCTTGCCTTGCATGCATGAGGCCCTGGGTTTGATTCCTCAGTACCACATAAGCAAAAAGAAAAAAGCTGGAAGTGGCACTGTGGCTCAAGTGGTGGAGCGCTAGCCTTGAGCTGAGGAGCTGAGGGACAGTACCCAGGCCCAGAGTTCAGGCCCCACGACCAGACCCAAAAAATAAAAAAAAAATCTGTGCAAAATGAAACTTCTTCGTATTGTTGAAAATTTTCAATTTGGTTATTAGATAACAGTTAACGTACTATGTGTAATTTGTGCATTTTAAAGTAATTACCATAATACTACTTGCTGTATAATGACTTTAAAATGAATTAATGAAAGATAACAGTGGTTAAATGGCTATAGTTAAAAGCAGTGGTAATTGCCTGGCACCAGTTGCTCAGCCTTACAATCTTAACTACTCAGAAGGCTGAGTCCATAAGGTCATGGTTCAAAAGCAGCCCCAGAGATGAACTCTTGAGACCCTTACTTCATTACCAGCAAAAGCCAAAAGTGGAGTGTGAGGTGTGGCTTAAGAGGTAGAATTGTCAGCTGTGAGTGAAAAAGTGGAGAGTGAATTTAAGCCTCTGTGGTGCACATGTTATTCCACAAAGTATACATATGTCAAAACACTTAGTATTTAAATTATAAAAAACATTTTAATCTCAGTAGCAGTTGTGTTTTAAGTACCTGATAGCCCTACCTTTGCACTAGTGTTCACAATGTCAGTTTTCTGATACTTACATTGTGCTGTGTGTGTGCGTGTGCGTGTGCCTGTCTGTCTGTGTCTGTGTGGTGTTAGTCCTGAGGCTTGAACTCTGGGCCTAGGTGCAGTCCCTGAACTTTTGGTCTAAAGGCTAGTGTTCTATTACTTGAGCCACAGCTCCACTTACGCTTTTTGGTGTTTAATTGGAGATGAAGAGTCTCATGGGGTGGGGGGAGGGAAAGGGGAGAGGGATTGGGATTAGAGGTGTGACTCAGTTGGTAGTGCACTAGCCAGTGAGCGAAAGTGTCAGGTACTGAGTTTGAGCCCTGGGTCTCTGACCAGGACATACTTGCTTTGAACTGGAGTCCTCAGATCTCAGCCTCCAGAGTAGCTAGAATTACAGAGATAACCACCAGCACCCGGGTATCTTGTGCTATTTTGAGTAACAAGATTTTTATTTTTTTGCCAGTCCTGGGGCTTGAACACACAGCCTGGGCACTGTCTCTGTGCTGCTTTTGCTCAGGGCTAACACTTTACTACTTGAGCCACAGCACCACACCTCGCTATTTCTGTTTGTGAGGTACTGAGGAATCCAACCCTGGGCTTCATGCATGCTAGGCAAGCACTCCACCACTAAGCCACATTCCCAGCCCCACAAGATTGTTTGGTTAATGTAATACTGTGTAGTATGTTAAATACCTGAAATACAGATGAGTTAGGACAACACAGAATCATGTGTTTTTTAAACAGCTTTATTTCATTAAACTTTTGAATGTATCCTTATAATCCTCAAGACAAAAATATTTAGAGCTTATGTTGCAAAAAATAAATCTAAGTATGGTTCAGAGCTTTTCTAAACAAGAATGGAAGCATGATACTATTTTCATTGGCCCTGGTAACTACATAGAATCCACATCCATGATGACACTAAAGAAAACAAAGCCAGGTGTGTGAGCCAATGCCTCACACCTGTAATCCTAGCTACTCAAGAGTTAGATCTGAGGATCATGGTTCAGAGCCAGCCCGGGTGGGAAAGTCCATAGACTCTTTGTTTCCAATTAGCCACCAGAAAACTGGAAGTGGAGCTGTGACTTAAAGTAGTGGAGTACTAGCCTTGAGGAAGAAAAGCTCTGAGTTCAAGCTCCCAAGACTAACATGTTTGTAATCTTAATACTGCAGAGGCAAAAGGAAGTTGATCACAAGTTCAGGACCAGCTTAGGCTCCATAGCCAGACACTAACTAAACTGGTTTTTGCTGTTTTTGTTTTTTAACAAATCCCACAAATCCCTTTTCAAACAAAAAATTTGTAAAAGTATTTCAATCCCTATAAAAACAGAAAAACTTGTTCAAAAAGATCTCAAGGTTATAAAACAATTGAGATCATTGGACTGTGAAGATACCAAAAATAATTGATGCTAACTTATCATCTTACAATTCTGTACACATTTTTCAATAAGAATATTTTGCCCAAAACACTTGAGCCACAATGACTTTTTTTGCGGGGGGCGGATGGAAGTTGGTTTGGTTTGAACCCACGAGAGTGCACTTAACTAGCCAGGCACTGTGCCATGAGTGACTCTTCCAGCCCTTATTATATTGGTTATTTTCAAAATAACATAGCTTCATGACCAATCCTCTAGTTCTCCCCACCTCACAAGTAGCTAGGATTATATACTTAAGCCTCTGTGCCTAGCACAATAACATTTTATTGATATAACTTGTTTCCTAAGATTGTGGTTTTTTTTTTAAATTTTTTATTGTAAAGATACTATACAGAGGGTTGCAGTTAAATGAGCAAGGTAATGAGTACACTTACTATTGAGCATTGTTCCCCCCTCCATTGTATTCCCCCTACCATCCCTTCCCTCCCTACCTTCCCCGAGGTTCTTTTTTTTTTTTATAATTGTAATTAAGTGATTGCATAATTTCCCAAATTTCACAGTATTGTGGAATAATGATGCTCATTTAAAGTCACAAGTTCATTCTAACTTTCCTGGAGCAAATTGTCTATCACAGTCTATAACATATAACAGTGTACACATATACATAAAATTTTTTCTTGTGTCTGTGTGAATAATTTTTGTTTAAAAATAAAAGATACCGTCATTTGCTTTTGATACAGTGGTATCACTTCTTGTTTCAAAATTCTTTTAACTATTGCAGTCTACAAAGGTCCATAGTCTGCTGTGACATAAATTGTTTTTAATAATTTTTTTGGTGGTACTAGGTAGTTACACTCAGGACCTCGAACTTACTAGCCAGGTGCTCTGCCACTTGAGTAACACCCTCGGCCTAATATATTTTTTTTTTTTGGTCCGGTCGTGGGGCCTGAACTCTGGGCCTGGGCGCTGTCCCTTGCTCTTCAGCTCAAGGCTAGCGCTCTACCACTTGAGCCACAGCGCCACTTCCGGCTTTTTTCTTTTTGCTTATGTGGTGCTGAGGAATCGAACCCAGGGCCTCATGCATGCAAGGCAAGTGCTCTACCACTGAGCCACCTTCCCAGCCCCTAATAACATATTTTTGAGTGTTTATGTTGAACATTTTTTAAATGCTTCTCCTTTATTTTCTCCTCTGATTCTACCTTTTAACTTAGAAGCAGGTGCTTGGGTTATCCCTGCATTTTCAGGTAAATTTGATGAGGATTTGAGCTGATAAATGTCTTTTTCCATTATTCTGAGAGGAGCGCCCTCTCCTGTCATTACAGGGGAAGTTTATCACTCCTGCTCACTACAGCGATATTGTGGATGAACGATCTATCATCAAACTCTGTGGTTACCCTTTGTGTCAGAAGAAATTGGGAACTGTAAGTAACTATATTTTTTTTAGCATAAGCTTTTGTATTTTTTAAAGTTTGGAAAAATACTTTGTAGAAAGACAGGGAATGAAACCTGAGGTCTTGAACTAATGAGTTGGCCAAAGCTATGATATGTAGATGACTTAATTTTAAAAGTCTGTTTACTGCTTGGATTCTTTTCTAAACTATACTTTCTTTTATTTAGGTACCAAAACAGAAATATAAAATTTCTACCAAAACCAATAAAGTCTATGATATTACTGAAAGAAAGGTAAGTTCAAATGCTATGTTTAAGGTTTCAGTTTTTAATATGATAGTAAATAGAATTCAAGTACATATTGACACAAATCTAAAAACTAAGATGGATAGAAACTAATAGCAGACCCACTGTATATGTGGAACTTGATATATGGTGATGAGAGTATTATGTATCAGTGGGAAAAAACAAGGGTTTTTCAATAAATGATACTGGCACAATTCTATCCAAGTGGAAACAAATGAGCACCTCTCTACTCAGTCTGTTTACAAAGTAGATAGAAAAAAGACGTAATGTAAAAGGAAGATCTTTTCTAAGATCATATGCAAGAATATAAACTTGGGGTAGAAGTTTTTATATGACATTATCTACCTTGGTGGAAAAACTAACAAACTTTTCTACATTAAATTTAGAACTTTGGTTCTGTCAACTTTGGTTGACAGGATGAGAAGTGACAAATAAGTTATAAATTTCTGTATATAATTGACTATAGGTTCATATCCAGAATATATAATCTGTAAGAAAAGGGAAAGCAAATTAGTAGAAAATGTTTACATGGTAAACTTTAATACCTAGTGAACATATGAAAAGATGCTGCATCTTTTATTGAGGGAAATCACAAATATGTTCACAAATTATTTGAGTTCTTACCCCAATATAGCAAGATTTTTAAAGTCTGACAACATTAGGAATTTTTTGTCATGCTTATAGAAGCAAAACTTGATACCACCTTTTTGAGGAACTATTTGTTGTTCAAGATGACTATACATTTATTACCCCAGCATTGCTGGATGAAACCCAAGGACTTATATGTGCTAGACAAGTCCTCTGACCTACATTCTATCAACTTTACACCTACTGTGTGAACAAGCCTTTGTATGACATGGTATATATTCTAAAGATGTTCTTGATTGTATGCACTTGGCATATGTTTAAGAACTTTCTTTGGAGATTAACAAAATGTTTATATGCATACAGTAAGTATTATGCAGCCTTTAAAAGAAAGACTAAAATGCTATAACATAGATGAACCTTGAGGGTTTTATGCTAAGGGAAATAAGACAAATACTGTACGGTTCCACCTATATGAGATACCTAAAGTAATCAAATTTAAAGAGACAGCAGCATGGTGCCTGTGCTATCTATGGGTATAGAGTTTCTGTTTTGTAAGACGAGCAGACTTTTTATTGGCAGTGGTGGTGGTTGTGGGGTTTGAACTCAGGGCCTAGGTGCTGCCCCTGAGCTTTTTTTTTTTTTGGGTCCGGTCGTGGGCCTGAACTCTAGGCCTGGGTACTGTCCCTCAGCTCTTCAGCTCAAG